CCCTCAGTGCTCGTTGGGGTAAATGCTTGGGCTTGCCATGGCGTGCAAGGCCCCTGTGGCTGTTCCTGCTCCCCTCTGGCCTCCTGCTGATCCTTCCCCCGCCTCCCCCTCCCTCTAGACTCTCCACAGCGCCCCCTTGGTTGCAGGCCCACTTCTGGCTCTGTAGTGGGAGTGGGAGAGGTTTTGTACCTGCTGTTTTCTCTCTGGAATGTGCTTTTCCCTTTTCCCTTCTCTTCCAGAGATTGATTGCCCAGCTAATGTGTTTTCAGCCTTCAGATCTCAGCTGAGGGGCACTTCCTCAGGGATACCTGCCTAGGTTCCCCTTACGCTCCAAATCTGGGCTGGATCCCTGTATTTCTAAGCTTAGCTCAGTTTGCAATGGCACGTTCATTGGGGCGCTAGCTCAGGCGGTGGGTGGTTTTGCTCATGTTTTATCCTCAGCTCAGCACATGCTCCCAGCAGCCTCTCCAGACTCTGAATATTGCAATCAAGAGTTACACCTTTTCTGTGCTAGTCCCTGGGCTGGGGACCTCAAGTTGAGTGAGGTTTCTGGTGTGTGGAGAAGAAGGGAAGGGCTCTGCCCAAGCTGTGTCCTCACCAGTGTCTTGGGCCTCCTGTGGGCCTCAGCTTTGACAGTGAGAAAGCCGGGGACCGGGAGGTGCAGAGGACAATGCTGGAGCTTCTGAACCAGCTGGATGGGTTCCAGCCCAACACCCAAGTAAAGGTGAGCACTGTTAAAGATGAAGTACATGGGGCTTAGAGGTCAGTGTACCTTCTCGGTCACCTTGCTATTGCAGCTACAGTAGGAATTGGGGTCTGTCTTCAACATCCCCTGCTGTTTCACCTGGACCCTGGGCTGTCTTTCTGCCTGTCATGGCCATGGCAGTTGCCTGTCTGAACTCCTTTCTCCTGAATTCAAGTTGCTGCTGCTTCCCTTGCTCAGGTAATCGCAGCCACCAACAGGGTGGACATCCTGGACCCCGCCCTGCTCCGCTCCGGCCGCCTGGACCGAAAGATTGAGTTCCCGATGCCCAATGAAGAGGCCCGGGCCAGAATCATGCAGATCCACTCTCGAAAGATGAACGTCAGGTGAGCAAGGACACCACGGGCAGGGTGCTGAGCCCTGCGGGGCAGCAGCAGAGCGATCTGGTTCTCCTCTGTGCTGAGCTTCCCCAGGCCTCCGCCCAGCCTTCCTTTCCACAGCCCGTTCACACACAGCACTGTTCTCTGCAACCTCTCTTTCTCCCCACGTGTGTGAGTAGTCTTGCTGGGGCCAAGACCCTAATTTTGCCTGCTGTGCTCCTTAGAATCCACCCTCCACCCCTTTCTCCTTCCCTGGAAGGTCTGCTGGCCAGAGGCCCTCAGTTTCCCGGCCTCCCTGACCTCAGCAGATGGGCACAGCCCAACATGGTCCAGGGGGATCCAGCAAGGGGCCAGATGGACCGGGGTTCAGGTCTCCGTGACCTTCAGCAGGTGGCATAACCTCTTTAAGCCTCAGCTTTCTTATCTGGGACTTGGGGACGTGGCACTGGCCTTATGGGGTTATGGCAACATCAAGCACAGTGCTTGGCACGTGAGATCACTGGTGGCGGCAGCATGCGGACGCTGGGCCTGCGTTCCTCAGGAGGGGCAGATGGCCATCCTGTCTACACACCCTCCTGCTCCCCTGCCTCAGCCTGAGTCAGTCCCTGGGCCCTCAGCTACAGATTTCTAGAAGGCTCGAGCTGGAGAAACAGAATCACCTGGTCTGACCTGCTTTGACTGTCGTCCCACCCTCCACCCCCCGCCTGGCCCCCGCTTGTACCACAAAGAGAAAGAGGCACAGGGCGAGTTGGCATCTGTTCCCCTGCCCCAGCCCTGTAAGTAACTGAGCCCTTGGCATCTGTCCTCTCACAGTCCTGATGTGAACTATGAGGAGCTGGCCCGCTGCACCGACGACTTCAATGGGGCCCAGTGCAAGGCTGTGTGTGTGGAGGCGGTGAGTGGTGGGGTGAGGTGGGTGAGTGGGTGCTTCTTGCCCCCTTCTCTGGACAGGGCAGGGGTTATTTGGCCAGTGGAGACTGCTGAGGGTTGAGGCTGACCAGGCTATGACCCCTGGGAGCCAGGCCAGGGGTGCGGGGAGGCACCCCTAAAGCTTGTGTGTCCTGGGTGCAGGGCATGATCGCACTACGCAGGGGTGCCACGGAGCTCACCCATGAGGACTACATGGAAGGCATCCTGGAGGTGCAGGCCAAGAAGAAAGCCAACTTGCAGTACTACGCCTAGGGGATCCACCACAACATTCCCTGCTCTCCCTGGTTAAAATTCGTAATAAAAAATGGCTTCAGGTCTCTGCCACCTGTCTGTCACGTTCCCTGGCTTCTGAGTGGAGGCGTGGGGTTGCTCGCATAAGACCTCTTCCCCTTATGCTGCTGCCTGGAAACTCAAGACAGCTGTGGGCCTTGATCCAGTTGTCAGGGCGAGGGTGAGCGTGTGCTGCCGCTGGCCTCGGAGGGGGGGGGAGCGTGTGCTGCCGCTGGCCTCGGAGGGAGGGGAGCGGGTGCTGTCGCAGGTCTGGGGGGGGGGGAGCGGGTGCTGCCGCTGGCCTCGGAGGGGGGGGAGTGTACTGCCGCTGGCCTGGGGGGGGGGAGCGGGTGCTGCCGCTGGCCTCGGAGGGGGGGGAGTGTACTGCCGCTGGCCTGGGGGGGGGGAGCGGGTGCTGCCGCTGGCCTCGGAGGGGGGGGAGTGTACTGCCGCCGGCCTCGGAGGGGGGGAGCGGGTGCTGCCGCTGGCCTCGGAGGGGGGGGGAGCGTGTACTGCCGCCGGCCTCGGAGGGGGGGGAGCGGGTGCTGCCGCTGGTCTCGGAGGGGGGGAGCGGGTGCTGCCGCTGGTCTCGGAGGGGGGGGAGCGGGTGCTGCCGCCGGCCTCGGAGGAGGGGGAGCGTGTACTGCCGCCGGCCTCGGAGGGGGAGGGGGGGGAGCGTGTACTGCCGCCGGCCTCGGAGGGGGGGGAGCGTGTGCTGCCGCTGATCTCGGAGGGGGGGGAGCGTGTGCTGCCGCTGGCCTCGGAGGGGGGGGGGAGCGTGTGCGGCCGCTGGTCTCGGAGGGGGGGGGGAGCGTGTGCTGCCGCTGGTCTCGGAGGGGGGGGAGCGTGTGCTGCCGCTGGTCTCGGAGGGGGGGAGCGTGTACTGCCGCTGGTCTCGGAGGGGGGGGAGCGTGTGCTGCCGCTGGTCTCGGAGGGGGGGGAGCGTGTGCTGCCGCTGGTCTCGGAGGGGGGGGAGCGTGTGCTGCCGCTGGCCTCGGAGGGGGGGGAGCGTGTGCTGCCGCTGGTCTCGGAGGGGGGGAGCGTGTACTGCCGCTGGTCTCGGAGGGGGGGGGAGCCTGTGCAGCTGCTGGCCTCGGAGGGGGGGGGAGCGTGTGCTGCCGCTGGCCTCGGAGGAGGGGGGAGCGTGTACTGCCGCTGGTTTCGGAGGGGGGGGAGCGTGTGCTGCCGCTGGCCTGGGGGGGAGGGGAGGAGCGTGTGCTGCCGCTGGCCTCCCCGTGGCGCTCGAGCTTTCGAGGTGGCGTGAAGCTCTAGATTGAAGGCCTCAACAGAGCCAGCCTTTCCCTTCTCACATTTTGGTGCTCTGGCCCTGGGCCTTGCTTCCTTGCAAAGCCAGGCTCTGGGTCTTTTCCCTTTGAAACTCCTTTGTTTCCTGCCCCTGGGTTTCCTGTTTCTCCACATGCTTCCATGAGCTCGTGGCCTATTTCCTCTGGCTGAAAACAACCTTGAGTAAGATCCTGGTCCCATACATATCCTTTGAAAGTCCCCCTGATGGCCTTTCAGAGTAACAGCCCTTCAGAACTCATCAGCTGTCACTTGCCCTTGGCAAAAGCCGGTACACCCTCCTTTTCCCTTGTCTCCTCCTCCAAGGGACTTGCCTACAGTGGGCTACTTACTGGGCCTGGGCTCTTCCTGGATCTGGGCTCCTGACCAGCTCTGAACCCCTTTCCTGTAGTCCCACCACTTCCATCTTCCTTCCAGTGTCCTGATGCGGCCCACATGGCTCTGGCCATCCCATTGACTTTCCACCGCCTTGCTTGAGGCCTGGCCTAACCTCTGAAGTGCTCCTGGTTCTGTCCCTCCTGGCTCGGCTGCCCTGTTCCTGCATCCCGTTCCCTCTTCTAACCAGTGGGGGCATTCACCTGTCCGTGGCACCCTAGTAGGCCTGTGTGTACCACCTGAGGCTGCACACAGAAGCCCCAGTGCTGCCAAGGGGGTGGGGTGGGGGCTGGCCAGAGCCTGGGTCCCTTCCCTGACAGATTGGGCACAGGCCCACCAGATCCTGGGTATGTCCGTCAGGCGCAGCAGATCCCTTTGGCTGAAAATGATTTGGAGCCCGGCTGGGGGTGCAGTAAAAGGCTTCACAGCCCCTGTACCAGACTTAGTGATGCTCTGCGGACCTGCTCCTGCCAATAGGCTACTGGAGGTGGTTCTGCTTGGCTTGGCAAGAGTGGGTGGGACTCCACTTCCCCTTCTGCTTTCTCCTGATAGCACTGTGGGGGAGCAGTGCCCCCCAGTGCCTGATCCTGTCCTTACACTCAGCACATTCAGAAGTGCGGATGTGTGGTTTAGGATAAGGATCCCATATTTTTTTCTTTCTTTTCAATGAAAAATAACAATTTCATGGAGACTAAACCTGGAGATGCCTTTGGATGAAGCTCTCTTCCTTGATTAAATTACTCAGGGCAGGCTGGGAAAAAGCCACTGGCTCGTAGGTCTATATAATGACGCCTCCACTGGGGGTGTGGGGGCTACACAGTGCCGGGCTTGTTTTATTGGCACAGAAGTCTAACAAGACAAGCCAGGGGAACGAAGTGCTGTCCCGTTTCGACAAGTACTGCAGGGGTGGAAGGTGGGGTGAGACCAGCAGGCGGCCAGCAGGAGCTGTGGAGCTGCTGGCCTGGCTGGAGACGAGCCCAGGAAAGCCCCGTTCAGCCGAGGCTAACGGGGTGCAGAACAGAGGCAGCAAGTTTGTGTAATATTTATTTGAATCTTACATATAGAATAGGTATTTACAGATACAAACGGAATCAGCAAAACTGCTGTAAAACCATTCAGACCCCCTTGGTGGCCACTTCTGAGAACGTCCATGGTTGAGCAGCTGGGCTTGGGCTTGGCTGTGGAGTGAGCCAGCTGAGTACCTGGGCATCAGCCAAGGGAAATAGCTGGGGATTATGGCTTCAGCATTCTCCCAGAGCGCATTCCTGAGTGCTGACAACATGGAGCCCTCACCCCCCACCCCTCCTCGAAGTGGGACAGGAACAGGGGCCCGAGCAGGGAGGGGCAGCCATGACCCACTCTCTTCCTGTCCCCAGAATGTCTGCCTGGCCCCTGTGCTGGCTCGAGCATCCCTGAGCTGGACCGGGAGGCCTCTCTGGCCCGGGGCTGCTGGCTGCCCTGCAGGCTGCTGTTTGGCAGCTGGAGGTGGCAAGAGCTGCTAGCGCTGCCAAGGAACATTCACTGGGGACAGGAGCTGGCCCAGGGCGGGCAGCCCAAGGGAAAAGTCTTAAAAAGCATCTCCCATTTCTGTGCTGGGATGGGTGGGACTGTCAGTGCTGAGTGGGGCTGGGGCTGCAAGAGCACCTGCCTCTCCTCTCTTTGGCCTTAGAGCTGGCGAAGGAAGGGCCAGGACCATGGATACTGCAGAGGGAAGTCACCCCAGCCTGCCTGGAGGCTGCCCAGGGCTGGGTACATGAGCAGAGGGGTTTATTCTCTCAGCCAGGGACCCATCTATGAGGCCACAGTGGGAGAGCTCTGGAGTTCCCTGCAGCCTGGGGCTCCTGGGGCTGCCCTTCACTCCCCTTGGGGTCATGGTGGGGAGGGGCGTCTGCCTGGGGCCAGTGCTGGTTCCCTCACTACTCTCTCTGGGAGGTACAAGATGACAGGGTGGCAAGGAGAGAGGACCACAGTGTGGCTGGGGGCGGGCACGGGCATGGGCCCTGGGCCCAGCGCAGGAGGGATCACAGTGTCGGTCTCACACACCTCTGTGCGCACATACACACACCACACACGCACACACACATACCATCCCTTTGTCTGGTCAGAAGCTCACTGGCTCTCACAGACACTCGCCCTCTCTGCCTTCACACAGGTCACAGAGTAAATCCGAGTCTTATTGCTGGGGGGACAGGGTGTCAGGGATGGTTACTCCACGAAGAGCGAGAACAGCACCATCACCACGATCCCTGCGCAGAGCAGAAGCACTTGCTGCAGGGAGTGCCTGTGGGGAGAGGGGCCAGGGCTCAGGGGGGCACTGGTGAGGGGGAGGGGAAGAGGCCAGAAAGTTCCTCTTCCTCGACCCCCAAAGGGCCCCGTGAGTGGCAGCTCCAGTGGGTCACTCACCATGGGTCATCTTCCTCCAGGAGGTCGGGCAGCACGTTCACCAGAGCGATGTAGAGGAAGCCGCCAGAGGTGAAAGGCAGGATCCAGGCCACAGTCTCCTCTGCAGTGGGAGAAGGCCCGACTGGCTGGGAGCCCATGGAGCTGGGTGTACCTCACCCCTCCCGCAGGGTAGACCAAGGGCAGAACCCAGTCTCCACACCAGGAGTGGGGCAGGTGTGCCCTTGGCTGGGACCCCTTTGCTGACCGCCACCTGCCGCCACCACTCACCACGCCCGTACCTACTCCCTTGGGGGACTGTGTACAGATGGCGAAGCAGGCCCCCAGCAGGCCCCCCAGTGCCGTTGAGAGCTGCAGCTTGGCTGCGCTCCATCGGTCAAAGCCGGCCCGGAGCAGGATGGCAAAGTCGCTGACCTGAGGGAAGGTCCAGGTAATCACTCTGGGCCCAGTAGGACAAGACCCTGAGTGCCTCAGGTATGGACATGCAAACTGAACCCCCTGCACCAGCCCTGCTGCTGGGCCCCTCAGCCTGCACCCCCTTCGTTGGGACCCCAAGCCCAAGGAGGCTGGAGCACAGCTGAGATGGTGGCTGCAGCCCAACAGGACTGAGCAGCTCCAGGCCTCCAAAGTCCAGCCCCCAAGCCTCCACTGCAAAGCAGTCTCACCCCAACCCCTCCCCCAAGCTCCAGGCCCCCAGAGCGGACCATGCAACCCTCTGGAACTCACCTCATGGGGGATCTCGTGCAGAAGGATGGCCATGGTGGTCAGGAGCCCAATCTGCAGGAAGGGGAGTCTGTGGAGGTTGTGCTGAGGGCCAGGGCACCCACTCGTCCACTCAGTCTACCAATATTTACTCTGCTCTGAGTGCCCTGGCTGGCCACCATTTGGTGACTAGAAATACAGCAGCCAATCAGCAGACAAGGAAGCTGCCCTCATGAAGCTCACAGTGTGGAGGAGGGAGGCCAGACTGAGTAACCACACAAAGAGCCCTGTGATCACACACTGTGACAGCTACTGGGGGCGGGGAGGACAAGAACTGGGTGCCATGGGGTGTGAGTAATGGGGGCCTAATCAGACGAGGGGTCAGCAAAGGCCTAACGGCCGAGGAGCCAGCCATTCAGAGTGGGAGGAAGAACGTTCAGGAAGATGGACAGTGTGAGGTGGAGGCCATGAAGAAGGAAAGAGCTTGGGTGTTCACAAGTAGACAGACAAGGGCAGAGGAAGCTGGGAGAGAAGCATCTAGAAGCAAGCAGGCGGAGGCCAAGCAGCCTGGCAGAGGCATGTGATCCCAACAAGGAGTGTTCGCAGCAAGAATAGACCAGCGGCTCGGGACAAAAGAAGGCCGTGTCCAGGAGGGCGACAGGGAGGACTGGGGCTCAGATGAGGTGTTGCTGATGCAGGGAGCAAGAAGTGATGGACTGGAAACCTATTTTGGAGGTAGAGCCAACTGGTCAACACAAACACCATTATTCCCCCGGGGACTGCCGGGCCCCACCTGCCCCAGCCTGCGCTCACCTTCTTGCTCACGAGGAAGCTGGCAGCCACAGCCAGCCCATGAGTGAAGTTGTCTATAGTGTTGGCCAGCAGGTTGAGATAGCCACTGACCTGGGTGGGGGGAAAGAAAGCTGGCTGAACCGGGTAGGCAGGGTTGAGCTGGGCTGGCCACTCAGGGCTGGGCAGCTGCAGGAGGAGGGGGCCCTGAGAGGGCCACTCACTTTGATGCTCCGGACCACGGCGCTCAGGCCGGGCTCTGCAGCCGGCTGGGCCAGATAGCGGCCTCCATTGAGCGCGGCAGCAGCGGGGTCTTTGCTGGGGGCCTAGGGCCAGGAGAAGGAGGGAGAGGTGACATTAGATGCCCCCTACTTGGCCAGGGTGGACACAGAAGGGGAGTGAGAGATGGAGAAACAGAGACAAGGTACACCCCTTTTCTCTGGCTAGACTTCTCTGCTGCTCCGTCAGCCAGGTGCCCCCAACTCAGCAGACTGTCCAGTCCCACATTGTTCCCATCTGAGAACAAGCCACAGCAGGGGCTGATGCTGTCACTCCCCAGATCTCCAAACAAGCTGGTCCAGCCTCCCAGAGGTCCCAAGAGACCCTCTTTTCAGGGTTCAACTCAGAACCTGACACTCCAGGCCCTGGTACCACCACAAAACAGACTGAGGTTTCCAGGTCCTAAGGTTTGGGGCTCACCTGGTTGGCCCCCTCATGCTCCTTGCTGTCCAGGAACATCTTCTCCAAAGCCAGGAAGGTCAGGAAGCCAGCAATGACCCACAGCCCCAGTTGTTGTTGCTGCTGCAGACTCTGCCTCTCACCACCTGCAGGCGGCAGCACTGATAGGCCAGGCCAAGCCAGGGCCATAGAAGGGGGACCGATTCGAATGGGACCTAGTCCAGGGTAGGGGCAGGGGGCCAGGACTGGCTGGTGGGACAGTGGGACCCCACGGACTCCCACAGGGACCAGGACAAGTTCCCTGCAGATACCCAAAACCCCTCTCCCAGCCATTCTGGTAGAGCAGGAAGGGCCTAGGCCATCCCTGGGCATGGGTACCAGCTTCCACCCACTCCCACCCTCCTGCCCCCAGCCTGTGACCTCACTCACTCAGGCTGGAGCTGCACGTGTAGGCCCAGGCCTCGGGGAGCAGGTGGAGAAACACATTGCCCAGCAGTCCCCCCAGGGCAAAGCTGAGCAGCCACTTCAGGCGCTGGGCCCCAGCTGCAAGGCAGAGATGCGGGGTTTGGGGGCCGACCCACCAGGGCTCCTTTCCTGGCCTCTGCCCCACCCACCCAGCTTACTAGGTTATTCGTGTTGTCTCAACCAGAATGGAAGCCTCTATTTAATTTTAATTTGTTGGAATCCTCACCCCAGGATATTTTTCCATTGATTTTTAGAGAGTGGAGGGAGGGAGAGAGAGAGAATCATCGATGTGAGAGAGATACATTGATTGGTTGCTTCCTGCAAGACCCCGACCAGGGCCGGGATGGAACTTGCAACCCAGGTACATGCCCTTGACCGGTAATTGAACCCGAGACCCTTTGGTCCATGGGCTGATGCTCTAAACGCTGAGCCAAACCAGCCAGGGCAGAATGTAAGCCTCTAAAAGGCTGGACATGGCCTGCTGCCTTCCTGGGTCCCCCGCCCCAGGCCCATCGAGGGCTGAGTGCTCAGCAGGAATACACCACCACTCCCTCATGGTTAAGGTCCCGGCTCTCCAACCCACCAGCTGGTGGTGCCCTTGGGCAGGCTGCTTCTGGGACTGTTTCCCCTTCTGTAGATGGGATAATTGTACCTGTCTGATAGGGATGTTGTGGGAATTCAGTGACAATACACATAGCTAGTACTCATTAAATGGGAATTTTCTTTTCTCAGCCACGGTTCCCCTCAAAGTGACAGAGATTTGGGGACTTTTGCTGATATGCAGCATCCAGAGCTGGAAGTGCCTGAAAGAGACCATGTCCAAACCCTTGGTTTGAAAGAAACTGATGCCCAGAGGGCAGAGGCAGCTTGGGGGTGGGGTAGCAACTCTCCCAGGGGAAGGTGCTGCTTCTAGGCTGTGTGACCTCAGGCTGGTTAAAGACCCTCTCTGTGCTTGTGCTGCCCCATTTGTAAAATGGAGCTAATAATCCAAACCCTCCCTACACTGACCTTGCAGACTGCAGGGATGCCATGAGAGGGACTGAGCCGATGGACAGGCAAGACCCCAGGAAGGGCCCCAGGAGGGCTCCATTCGTAGCTGTGGCAGCAGCCCTCAGCCCGGTGACTGAATGAACAGGGGAGCACAAGCACCTGGGCCCTCGTTTCAAAGATTTCTGGGGCCATGGTCCAGACTTACTGTCATACTCTTGCGTAGGGGTGCAAGGCACCTGTATTTTTAGCAGCTCCCCATCTGATCTTGAGGATTTTTCATTACCTGTCATTTGCAGGTAGATAGTCCGTGCACACCATACAAAAGGGTAGCCAAGGAAAAGCCTCAACCCAGGCCTGTGCCCCACCTCCCAGACCCCCTCCCCAGAGGCAAGCCTACGACCAGGCTCGTCCCTGGGTAAGGCTGACTCAGGGGCTTCTGGTTTGAGTTCTTTTGCACGATGAGCAGAAACTGAAGGGAGAGGCGGTGCTTTGCTGGCCACTGCATCTGCACACCAAGCACAGGGCCCGCAAATACACAGCCTTTTCCCTGCACCAGGTAGTACTTTACTGATGTGAGTTCATTTAATCGTCACAATAGTATCTATGAGGTAGATACTATTGTTATCCCATTTTTAAGGTTGGTAAGTGGCAGAGCCAAGATTTTGAAAGCAGGTAGGCTTACATCCATATTTCTAATCACTGTCTATACTCCTTCTTGGTGAATGTTTGCTGATTGTTATTCTTTCAGAATAGAAAAACGCACAAATGAATGAACAAATGAACATGGTGTATCCTGGTCTCACAGGACCACAGTGAGAAACTGTATTCTGTCCTCACCCTCCACCTGACACACTGTAACCCAGGACGTGAGACCCAGCTCTCTGTGGAGGAGCATGTTTCCCACACTGCAGACTGCCCCAGGGTGCCAGAAGAGGGTCACCCACCTTCTGAGCGCAGTGTGGCCCCCATCTCCAGGGGAATGACCAGCAATGGGAAGACCCCGCTGAGTCCCACCATGAGTGAGCCCAGGAGGGAGCAGATCCAGGTGTCCAGCCTCTCCCCGCTTAGCAGGGCCCCCCAGGACTCGCTTTCCTTGTTGTCTAGGCGACAGGCGGCTGCAGCCCCCCGGTTCCGGAGGGCCTGCTGGGAGCCCCCAGCCCCTCCCAGGAGCTCCAGGGAAACAGCAATGAAGAAGAGGAGCCTTTGGCCCGCCATGCCACAGCCAGAGCAGGGACATCCAGGCATGCCAGGTGCTGAAAAACACAAAGGCCACTTACATGAGCTGCCACCCTTTGCTGAACACCTGCTTATGAAATATGGCATCTTAACCCTCCTGCTTGCCTGGCCCAGGACTTCTGTGGATCCAAATGGTGGGTGCACAGAGCAAAGGAGCTCGGCTCCTCCATACCCCAAGGACCACACACTTTTTCCTTCTGAGCCGGCTTCAGACTGTGTGTCAGCATGTCTGCCTGAGGCTAAACTTTCCCTAATGACAGGGTGAGGCGCTGGCTGGGTTCCCCTCAGCCACCGGCAGGCCCAGCCCAGCCGGGTGTCTCTGGCTGCCAGGGGAGGCTTTGCCGCCAGGATGTGCCCTGGTGAGGACACCCCTGGGACTGTGGCTGCACTCTCTAGCTTGATGGGGTGACATCAGGAGGTGCAGGTGGGGCAACCAAGCAGCTGAGCTAGGACAGGACCATGAGAGCTTCTTCCCAGGAAATGAGCCCAATGTCCCTGGGGCACAGAGACAGACAGGGGGTGGGACTGAAGAGAAAGGGGAGCTGCCTCATAGATGCTCGGGGCTGCCATTAACTTTGTGCCCTGCACTGACAGCTAGTTGACTGCTGGCAAGTCCCAGAAGCCCCCTCTCTGAGCCTCAGTACCCTTGTCTAAAGGATAAGTTTCGCCTCCCTCACACGGTTGTGCACATAAGATGAGCTTGACAAAGCAGGTGAATGTGCCTGGATGGAGGAAGCACAGCCAGCCCTGCTTATGCGGTGGGAGGCCCGAGACACTGGGCAGCAGGAATGTACCCAGCCGGTGATCACAAGGCAAGGATGTGAGTCAACCAAGAGAGAAATTCAATCTGGAAACTCGGGCATTGAGGTTTAAATGTGATCTGCCCTGCCTCATGCTGGCTGTGACCTTGAGCTGGAGGTGTCACTGCCTCAGTTTCCTCATCTGCTGCTAGAGGTGGGAGGGAGGGAAAGCAGCCGCCTCTGGTCGTGGAAAAGATGCCCACGCTCAGGGTCTCCAGGCCTGAACGGGAGACCCTGATAAAACCCGCTGGGCTCCACTGGGGACCAAAGCAGGACAGGGCCAAGTCGGGCTTGGAGGCCGAGGCGGGTCACGCAGAGATGAGGGGATCACGTAGAGCTGAGGTCTGGGAGAGGGGCTGGGGGTGCGGAGAGTCAGAGAGCAGCGGGAAGGGAGAAAGCGAGAGAGAGCCGGAGACAGTGGGAGACAGACGAGGAGAGGGAGAGCCACGGGGAGATGGGGGGCGACGAGTGGGCGACAGAGAAGAGCCCAAGGAAGTTGAAGACCGGGCTCCGGGCGAGAGGCCCAGGTCGGCCCAGGGCGAGCCGGGCGGGGGGCGGGGGTCCGCTAGCTCCATCCGGCCCAGGGCGCGGGCCCCGCGGGCAGGGTGGTCACTCACCGTGCAGCGGCGGCGGCAGCGCTCCGGGCGGCCCCGGCCATCCAGCTGCGGCGCGGCGCCCCGCCCCGGGCCTGCCCCGCCCGGCCCGCAGCCCGGCCCCCCGCCCGGAGCCGCCCCCAGCGCGCGGCCACGTCACACGGGACCTGTCCGGAACCCGACGCACCGCGCGCCGCGCTGCTGTGTGGGGTGGCTGTCCGGGAGCGCTTCCGTTTCGCGGCCATGGGGGATCCGGCTGGCCAGCGCACTTCCGCTCGGGCCGGACTGGGGCTGGCGAGGAGGGCCGGGCGGAAGTGGGAGAACCTTGGTACCGCGCTCAGCCAGGCTGGGCAGGGCGCCGGCGGTGGCTCCGCAGGGACCGCGAGCCGCTGGGCGGCTGGGCTTGCGGGTGTGGCCTCCGCTTCGTCTCCCGGGCTGCAGTCTCCCCCGCGGCCGCACGGGGGCGCGCTCGACTGCCAGGCTCGCAGCCTCTCGGCAGGCCCGGTCTCGAGTGGGAGGATGGCTGCGACGCTCCAGTTTTGAGTCAGCCTGGCCTGGCTCCTCCATGAGCAAGGGAAAGGGGAAGTGCCTGCCGCAGGGAGGGGCCTACCCCCAGGAACCTCTAAAGAGGGAATTTTATTCTTACTCATCGAATTATTTTTATGCTTTGGTTTTTCACTGGGAACCTCAGGCCTTTGTCTCCAGAGCTTGTAACCCTTTGGGGTCCAATGCATTGTGCCTTGATACTGCTGCTCTGAACCCCAGACCTGAGGGAGCAAGGGCTCTGTGCTCCCCTTATTTAGAGGAAGTTGGCCTGACCTTTTAGACTAGGGCAGCAAACAATAGCATTATTATTATAACTGCAATTTACCAAACACCTACTATGTGCCATTCACTCTGCTTGCATTCTTACTGAATCCTCATTCTACTCCACCGAGATGGGTACTGTTAGCCCAGGGTGAAACAGTGGAACAGATGGCAGAGCCAGGATTCAAGCCTGGGTGTCCCTGAACCCAGAGCATGTGATAGATAGCACCTCTCACTTCTTGGTGTGGGAGTCTGGCTTGGTGTTTACACTTTGCATCCTTCTTTGGGATCAGCCAGGACTATAGGCTGTTCAGGAAGGGGCACGTGGGTGCTTACTTGGGCAGAGATTGTGATAGGATGGGGTTCTCCAAGACTAACCTTCATCTGCCTCCCATGATAGCTCCCTTCATCTGTCCTAAGTCGCTCTCCCCTTCTAGGAGCTCTGAAGGCACCCTTGGCTCTTGATGCTTGTACCGCCTCACACTCCAGTGTCAGACTCCCAGCTCCTTCCGGGTGGGATCAGCTTTATTCTGAAAGACCTCCGTTTGCCTCACCCCACCAGGCCCATAGGTCAGCCAGGATGCCCTCTGGTGCCCCTCCCTGAGTTCTGAAGTGGAAGTTCTGGGTTGGTTTCTTTGCAAGGGGAGGAAGACACTCAGGGATGCTGCTCTGGGATCTCTGAGATGCACACCCCCCCGTATGCAAATCACTCCATCATATGCAAAGCACTTCACAATATACAAATTACTTCACAATTATGCAGTCAGCATTCCTGCCTCTGGGGGCTGAGGGCTGCTGGCCACCAGTCTGAGGATGGGCAAGACCCAGCCAGAACCGCCATTTGCTGCATTCTCACCTTGCCTGGAATTTCCACACTCAGACTTCCTAATGGATTAAAAAAACAAGTGAATTGGGGGTGGGGATGGGACTCTAGAAGATGATAATGAGCGGGAGGGCCAAGTGGAAAGACATAGTGGGCCGACTAATGTGTGACTGTTAATAACAGTGAATTAGATCTTCCAGGTATAACTGAGTGAGAAAAAAGACATATTAAATAAATGTCTTTTTTTTTTAATCAATAAAAATGTATCCTCAGGTGAGACTTTAGTTTTTTCTTGTTTGGGAAACTATATGGACATCAATTCTAAATGATAGCATTGCAGGACAGAGTAATCTTGGTTGTAAGTCTTTGCTTTTCATCACTTTAAATGTTTCTTGCTACTCCCTCCTGGCCTGCAAAGTTTCTTTTGAGAAATCGGCTGATAGCCTTATGGGAGCTCCCTTTTAGGTAACTAACTGCTTTTCTCTTGCTGCTTTTAAGATTCTCTCTTTGTCCTGAAACTTTTGCAATTTGATGATGATGTGTCTTGGTGTGGACCTCTTTGGGTTCATCTTGTTTGGGACACTCTGTGCTTCCTTGACTTGTGTGTTTGTTTCCTTCAAGTTAGGGAAGTTTTCTGTCATTATTTTTTCAAATAGGTTTTTAATTTCTTGCTCTCTCTCTTCTCCTTCTGGCACTCCCACGATGCAAATGTTGGTATGCTTGAAGTTGTCCCACAGGCTCCTTTATACTATCCTCATTTAAAATTTTTTTTTCTTTTTGCTATTCTGATTGGGTGTTTTTTGCTTCCTTATATTCCAAATCAATGGTTTGCTTCTTGGCTTCACCTACTCTACTATTGATTCCCTGTAAATTAGTCTTTATTTCAGTTAGTGCATCCTTCATTTCTGACTGGTCCTTTATTATGCTCTTGAGGCCCTTACTAAATTCATTGAGCATCCTTATAAGCAGTGTTTTGAACTCTGCATCTGTTAGATTGCTTATCTTCATTTCATTTAGTTCTTTTCCTACGGTTTTCTTCTGTTCTTTCATTTGGTACATGTTTCTTTTTCTCTTCATTTTGGCTGCCTCCCTGTATTTGTTTCTATGTATTAGGTAGAGTTGCTATGTCTCCTAGGCTTCCTAGGATGGCCTGTTGTAGTAGGTATCCTGTAGGGTCCACCTACAACCTCCCTGATCATCCAGCTGAGCCTTTGAGTTCACCCTTCATATGGACTTTACACCCTTCTGCTGTAATCGAGACTTGATTGCTCTTGGCATGTCAATGGGAGTGTTTTACTCAGGCTGATCAGCTGCAAGGACTGGCTGTGCCCGCTAACCATCAACCTCTGACTACCTTAGATGATCAGCTGTGCAGGGGCACACTACACAAAGCAAGACTTACTTCATCAGGGCTCTGGTACCCAATGAATCCATTCCTTGAGTGTGTCACTTGTGGAGGTAGTTAGGTGGTGGTGCTTCAGCGTGGTCTGACGCTGTCCCCTGGGTGTGCTGGCTGTGGGGCAAGGTCAGCCACTGTCTATGTTCCACCCAGAGCTACCAGGCATAAGCTACAAAGCAATCTGCCGATGGCTGCTGCCTGTGCTGGGCTTGGAGGTGCCCTGGTGAAGCCAAGCTGTGAACCAAGGCTGGCTGCTTCTAGTGCCAGGCCTGGGGCCACTTAGCGAGAGGTATGGGGCTTGCTGTGGCCAGATGCTGCTTGTTTGAGAAAATTTAGGAAAATCTGAAGCAGGAGCCAAAACAGGCCAATTCTATGGTACAGCCACTGGAAACAGCTTGGGTGGACCTGGAAGTTGAGTGGGGCGGGGCCTCAGGGAATCACCAGGGCAGGGCAAACAGTATGAGCCAGGTTGCTGGAGTCCCAGATATGGTGTCCATCTGCCTGCCCTGTGGGGGAAGGGCTCACCAAAGGAACAACTTCCACCAGCATGTTCTGGGAGAAAGCTGCCTTTCCAGTCCTTGCCCCAGTCCAAACAACTCAGTTCTTCCCTGTATGTCTCTGGTGCCTTTCAAGCTGCCTCCCCATGCTGGAGCCAGTCTCGATGTGGCTGCTTCTTTAATTTCGTAGTTGTAGGACTTCCATTCAGTTTCATGTCAGGCATTACTGAAGGATGGTTGTTCTGTAGCGTAGTTGTAATTTTGATGTGGTAGTGGGAGGAGGCGATACCATGTTTATCTATGCCGCCATCTTGACTGAAAGTTTTCAAAAATTTGGGTTTTTTAAAAATATTTTTTCTTTCTTTCTTTTTGTTCAGATAGAGTGGGAGGGAGAGAGAGAGAGAGAGAGAGAGACATCGACGTGAAAGGGCCACATCGAGTGGCTGCCACCCGCACGACCAACCAGGGCTGGGGACAAATTGCAACCGAGGTATGTGCCCTTAGCGGGAACCGAACCCGGGTCTCTCTGGATCGCAGGCTGATGCTCTAACCGCTGAGCCAAATCGGCCAGGGCTAAATATTTTTTCTTTCTTGATTTTAGAGAGAAAGGAAGGGAGAGGGAGAGAGAGAGATGAAACATCGATGAGAGAGAACATCAACTGGCCACCTCCAGCATGCCCCTCACTGGGGATTGGGCCCACAACCTGGGCATGTGCCCTGACCGGGAATTGAACAGGTGACCTCTTGGTGCATGAGTCCATGCTCAACCAGTGAGCCACACTGGCTGGGCTAAAAAATTTGTTTTAATATAATAGAAAAATTTATTTATTTTTTATTTATTTATTTATTTTTTAAATCCTCACCTGAGGACATTTTTCCATATTTTGTTCAGATAGAGTGGGAGGGAGGGATGGGGAGAGAGAGAGAGAGAGAGAGAGAGAAACATCGACGTGAAAGGGACATATCAAGTGGTTGCCACCCGCACGACCAACCAGGGCCGGGGACAAACTGCAACCGAGGTACGTGCCCTTAGCGGGAACCAAACCGGGATCTCTCTGGACCACAGACCGATGCTCTAACCGCTGAGCCAAACCGGCCAGGGCTAATAGGAAAATTTAAAAACATGTTAAAACATGTATACAATCACATTTATGCAGTTACATGAAAAATCATATATAAACTCACCACACACACACATAAATATATGTGCAAACATCATATGGTATACCACCATTATATATGTGGACCCTTGTTGACCGAAATGTAGTTATGCAGCACATGACTGTGTTTGTGGGTGTGTGTGCGCGCGCGTGTGTGTAATGGTTTCCTAGCTTGATGGTTATGGTAAAGACAACCATCTGGTACTAGATTTTACCCCTCTCCAAGCCTTGGTTTCCTCATCTCTATAATGGATTACTCTATCCGATTGCCGTGAGGATTAAATGAATGAATATATATAAAGCACTTAGAAATATACCTGGCATATTAGAGTTCTATTTAAGGCTTAGTTATTGTTTATATGTGTAGATACATGGGTATAAAGAAAATATTACAACAATGAAAAGAACAGATAAGTGAAAGACATTGGTGGGGGGGGCATCCTCCCTCCTTGTGAGCACAGATGAGTTTTTTTCAACACATTTATCAGTTGGTTTGGAGTTCTCAGGGCCAGACACACTTCAGCAGGGCGTGAATGGGCCAGGGCACTTCTTGGGTCTG